GTTTTTTATTCTTTTCATTACCATATTACATTTCTGGAAGAATTTTCGTTGGAAGTCTAGTATTTTTATTTCGTTTTATCTAATAATTATTATAAATCGTTTAAGGCAATGTCACTTTGCTCGCATCCTAATGTTGTTAATTACTTTACTTCATTTGTGGTAGAGGAACAGTTGTGGGTTGTGATGCGCTTGCTGAACTGTGGAAGTATGCTTGATATTTTGAAAAGAAGAATAAAGGTTATTTTGAAACTAGTTGTTTTTTATGCTTTCTTTAGAATTAATTATTTATTTTTTCCTGTTTAATTAGTTTTTGTTGCAATAAATCGTAGGATTGTAAAATGACTGTACTTCATGTACAATGACGCCGGCACATTGTGTATAACGTGTGAGGCATGTATGTCTAGGCTATGGGAAAGGAGGCAGCGTCGATGGGCGTTTTAGATGAAGTAACCATCGCAACAGTACTGAAAGAAGTTCTTCGTGGTCTTGAATATTTTCACAGCAGCGGGCAAATTCATCGAGATATCAAAGTATTCTAATTATTGCAGTTGAGGGTGTTACTTATAAATTAGATATTATTATCCGGCGTTTTTAATCCAAAAAATGCTTGCTGTAGGAACCAAGATAACATTCGAATTGGTATAAGGTTTTGATAAACTTTTTTGTTTGTTTTTTTTTTCCTTTTTTAATGTGTCTAGTACGCTGTTGAAGAAAGTTTTATATTACAAGATTCTGTCGTTTTTTTAGGCAGGCAACATTCTCATTGCGGATGATGGCACTGTTCAGATTGCAGATTTTGGCGTTTCTGGTTGGATTGCTGCAAATGGAGGGGATTTGTCTCGTCAGGTTCATTATGTTTAATTTTTGAAGAAGATTTTCGATATTTCATTTTACTTTTACGCGCAGAATAAGGCTGGGTGAAAACGACATTAGGTGGATCTAGAAGAGCCCTTCATTTTGCAGAAGTTGCTGGACATTTCATTCGTTACATTGTTGAGGAATTCTGCTTTTGTGTCAGTTTAGTTTCGTTACAGACAAGCCCTCTTTATGTGTGATTGCTTGAAATTATACGGGGCATCTCCATTCATAATAATATTTAATGTTAGTAGAGTTTTTCCCAAAAAAGCCCATTTTCAATTAATTGACGTCAAACTTGACTGAATGAAAAGCTTTCGGGCAAGTAATTTGCAGTCGTCTAATATTCTTACTTCTTAATTTTGTTGCTATCAGTTTTCTATGTTTTTTTTAGAAAAGTTTTACAAGCGTTATGCCTCTTTGTGGGAAAAATACGAATTTTTAAATTTTATCTTTATCCTGCTCTACTAAAGTTAAACATCGCATCATCATCGTGTTCCTTCTTACATTTTGATCACTTCTAGATCAGACGTTTCTTTAAACAATGAACTGCCTCTTAATTTCCAGCCAGCGATTAGTTTTGGATTAAAAAAAGTTTATTTGTAAAATTTTTGGGACCTGGTTAGAAGGCGCAGTTAGAATTTAAGTTTTCATAATTATCTGAAGCGGTTCAACCTCTCCCTTTCCAGCACCTGAACTGCATTTTTTTTGGGTTGTTAGGTATCAGTGGGAAAGGACTGGTTACCCTACAATATTGTTTCAATCTTTCTATTTAAAGAATACTTCTGTGGAAACACTGTTTTAAATGAATAATTGCTATGAATATTGTGTGAGTGGTAAGTTCTGTAGCATAGTTTGAATCTTACAGAAAGTTAGGCATACATTTGTTGGTACACCTTGTTGGATGGCTCCGGAAGTTATGGAACAAATTTCCGGATATGATTTCAAGGCGGATATATGGAGTTTCGGCATTCTGGCCATCGAGCTGGCCACTGGGACTGCACCTTATCATAAGTTTCCGCCGATGAAGGTTAGTGGGACACAGCAGTCGTTAGCTTGAACTTTCAGAAATAACTATATTAAGTTACCTTATTTAGGTGCTTATGCTTACCTTGCAAAATGAGCCACCCACTTTAGAAACCAATGCTGAAAAGAAAGATCAGTATAAGGCATATGGCAAGAGTTTTCGACATGTAATAAAAGATTGTTTGCAGGTTTGAACTAAATGTTTTATTTTTTAATTTTTTTTGCAAGTCGGAATCTGCTATGGTTTTTATAGTTTATTTAAGCAATATTTTAGTAACTGCTTCAAATGAACTTCTTTTATTTGTGGTTTTTATTTTTATCATTGTCATTTCCACTTACTTTTATGTCATTTGTAATTAAAAGTAAGCTTTAATTTTTGCTTGACTTTACTTCAGAAGGACCCGTCTAAACGTCCAACAGCCACAGAGCTGCTGAAGTACTCATTTTTTAAAAAAGCTAAGGATAAGAAGTACTTGGTACATTCGTTAATTGAAAATCTTGCTTCTCTTCCACCGCCCTCTCATGTACAACATGATGCTCCAAGAAAGGTTCATTTAGCACTATATTTTTTCAATGCTTCTGGCTTCCGTTGCTTTTTTTAGAGGAAGAAGTTTTATTTTCATTTGAGCCAGGTTCTTGTCAAAAGCGTTGGGATATTCTTGGTTTAGGTAACTTCTGGGAAATTAAAGAAAGATAAGGACGGCAACTGGGAATTCGAATTGGACGATCCTAGTGATTCTGATAGCGATGAACTTGACTTACCTAACACTGCTGCTCAAGCTGCACCTCCTCCAGCAGTTGCAGAAAACACCCTTAATTTGGTCTCTCTTTATCTTTTTTTTTTTTTTTTTTTTTTTTTTTTTTTT